GTTGGGGACTCTCTTGGGACCTTCCCTCTCGTCCTCCTCATCCCCTCCTACCTGGTTCTATTGCTACTCTAACTTTCTTGTGTGAACTTGTGAGATCATTGTGATTGAGTTACGTTTTCTATGGCAGCATACCCCCTAGTGCGCCGAAGTTCATAACTCGAGTTGTACTCCATATTCTGATACTATTCAAATTGGGAAAGATAGCCACGGTCAAGGGCTACAACATACTCGAGTTTGAAAGAATTCTAACAGTGGACCTTTCGTCGACGACGTTTCTTGTGACGACGACTTTTCTGTCCAGAATTGTAGTTGACGATTTTGAGATATTTCAGCCCCTAATCTTCATAGACTCCGTCCTTAATCTCTAACAATGGGCAGGGTGTGCAAGCTCAAAAATTCCATCTACGGCTTGAAGCAGGCGCCACGCTGCTGGTACCAGAAGTTGGCAGCTGTTTTAGAGGAGATGGGATTCAGGACCAGCAGCTGTGATGAGAGCCTCTTTCTCAAGGGGGAGGGGGAGAAGCTGGTGCTGTTTTTGGTCTACGTGGACGATATTCTTCTCTTCAGCTGCAGCATGAAGGAGATCCAGAAAGTACAGCAGCAGCTGATGAAGAACTTCAAGTGCAAGACCCTTGGGGAGGCAATGTATTATCTCTGGATGCACGTAGAGAGGGATCCAGATCACAGGTGGTTGAAGCTGCACCAGGAGAAGTTCATCAAGGAGCTGGGGGAGAGGTATGGGATTGAGAATGAGCGCAAGGTTGCAACTCCCCTGTCACCAGACTTTAAACTTGTGAAGGCTGCAGAGGATGAAGGGGTTGAAGCCGAGGAGCAGCAGCAAATTCAGTCCTTGGTGGGCAGCCTCTTGTATGCACGGGCTCGTACGAGGCCCGACATCTCTTTCTCGGTTGGGCAGCTGGCTAGGGTGGTGCAGAATTCATAAGAGGAGCAGGTGGATGCAGCTGAGCGTGTGGTGAAGTTCCTGAACTCTCACCCAAGCATTGGAGTTCAATACTCTGCATCTGCATAGGTAAAGCAGAAAGGGGTTGAGGTGTTGAAAGAGAAGGGGGAGCGGCTTGGAGAAGGCAAGCTGTTTCTCACTTGCTTTACTGATGCTATATGAGCTTCTGAGAAGGAGGATTCCTCATCTGTGGGAGGATACATCTGTGTAGTTGGGGGAGGACCTGTTAGTTGGAGGTCCAAGAAGCAAACGGAGACGGCACTCTCTTCCGTGGAATCAGAGTACATGCCAATGTTTCACGGGGTGAAGGAGGTGATTTGGTTCAGGAGGCTGTTGGAGGAGATTGGCCAGGAGCAGAAGGTTGCTACGCCGCTATTTTGTGATAGCAAGGGGGCTCTTGGGATGGCCAAAAACGCTGTGCTTCATGGGCTGAACAAGCACATGCGTATCATATGGCAATGGCTGCGAAAGGAGGTGAAGAGGGGGATGGCGAATCCAATCTATATCAAGACTCACCAGCAGCCAGTGGACTTCCTCACCAAGAGGCTTGCGGATGAGCTTCATTGGCGTTATGTGCGCATGAGTGGAATGAGCATGAACTAACATGGAATGATGTGGAATGCAGCCGGCAGGCTGAGGGGGAGTGTGTTGGGTGCAAATTCACATTGCACGACATCCTGCCGTCTGTTTGTACGAGTATGCGTGTGCGAATGCATTTGGGTGTGAATGGAATGTTCGTGTGTTTGTTTGCTTTCGCATTTTTTCGCTTGATGCATTTGCAGGTACTCGTGCAGTGTGCGCTTTGGCACAACATTGTACGTGCTATGAACAGTGCAAGCAGAAAGGACGAGCTCGCAAAGGAACCCAAGATGTAAGCTTTGCATTTCATTTGAATTGATTGCGCAGATTCAGTTCTATCCAACTCGAATATAGTTGAAATGTACTGTATTGTTTGGTTGACTATAGTGTAGCAGGGCAGTCACTATAGGGGTACAATTTAGGTGAAGGTTGGATGTTGTTTGTCTGTATCTGCATGCTACAGGGCCAGGGGAAACCAGCGGAACCAGCATTTGGCTGGTTGGGTAAAGACAAAACAGGTTCTGTTTTTAGGACCTGAACCTGGTTGTTGTTTTTCCAGGTTGGAAAAACAGAACCAGAGGTTGTTTACCAACCTACCACCTGCTGTTTTGTCCAGCCAGGTTGGTTCTGTTGCTTGGAAATATTTGGGATCATCCCTGGTTGTTCCCAGGTTGATAACCAAGGTCCTTGCTAGCTAGAACTATTTATTCCTTCTCTGTTTGTACTTGGATATAGTCAATTTGATTCAAGCGAATTCCTTTCTTGCTGGAATTTCGTTTCTACGCGGTGCGACGGCGGAATGCTACCGAGTCAACACTAGTACGCTAGCTCTACGATGCTAGGCAAACGCTGTTCGAGCCATAACTCTGCAATGGCAGAACTTTTCGCGAGGCAACCTAGCTCTTATGAAAGCTCTTAGAGTGAGCTTCGATATAGCGAGTTCTCAGTTTAATCCGATCGATGGTCTGCATGGCACGCTGCGCGACGTTCAAGGTACTCTTGCTGTTTTGACTAAGTCCCTCTTGATCCCTCTCTCTACAAACTCGGACCCGAGGATAGGGGCTGGTCTTGTGCCAGGCACCCAGGGACCCTTGGAGGTGACCCCGAGGAGAGGTTTTAAGTTGGATAACGTCTTAATACCCTGATTTTATTAGGCCCTTACACTAAGAGACTCCGTTTGCACTCGGATCGTGGTGCTGAGTTTATTTCCACTCGCCTGAGGTTTTTCTATGAGGGTCAGGGGATCATCCAGTCTTATACACTACCAAACTCGTAGCAGCAGAACGGGGCCGCTTTGCCACGGATCGGCCTGGTCATGGAGGTTGTCCGTTCCTCCATGTGCCATGCAGGTGCCCCCTAGTTCCTGCGACCCTAGGCTGTTTGCTACGCCACGCACCAGCTGAACCTATGGCCCAATGACGCACGGCCACGGAGGACACCGGTCTTCCTCTAGAAAAAGTCTCGGGGTGTAGCAGTTGACTACCATGTATGGGGCCCCTTGGCACGAACAAATTGTCTGTTGGCACCCGTGCCTGTGTCTTTCTTGGTTCCCCCCTGGACGCCTCCGGCTTGATGTTCTACGACCCGCTTACCTACCGGTTCTTCAGTTCCCAAGACGTCACCTTCGACGAGTTGGTGTGTTACTACAGGTGCTGTTCCCACCGAGGTTTTGAGGCCTTTTCCCCCCCACTGTTCTTGACCCCGGTGCCCCCCCAGTCGCCTCGGTAGCCCTCCCCCCACCCTTCGCGTCCTGCCCCGTCAGGTGTGTTGCACGTCACTCCGCGGTCGTCTTCCCCGCAGCGTTCGGTCCCTATTGTGTCTGGGGGTGCAAGAGGTGCAGCTGCGGAGGGTGAGGGTACTGTGGCTGCTGGAGTTGGTGGTGCTGGCTCTGGGGGTGCAGGGGGGAGGGCGTAGAGGCCACCACTATGGACGAGCGGCTGCCTGGTGTCAACGTAATGAAGAACCGCTGGGTGCTGATGACGAAGTACCATGTCGACGACACGGTCGCCTGGGAGAGGCGCACTTGGTTGTGAAGGGCTTCACACAGGTGTATGGTGCCGACTACGATGAGAATTACGCGCTGGTCGCGAGCTACATCACACTGCGGATCTTCCTCAGCATCGTCGCCGTCCTCGGCCTGCATCTGATGCAGCTCGATATGAAGAACGCCTTCCTCTAGAGCAAGCTCTATGTGTACTAGCCCTACTACTATAACGTCGACATAGGCCGTGTGTGCAAGCTTCTTTAGAACTTGTACGGCCTCAAGCAGTCGCAGCTGCTGTGGTACTCGGGGCTCGATGACGTACTGACCGGCACCGACTGGAGCAAGAGCCAAGTTGACAAGGCTCTCTATTTCAAGGTGCCGAGATGGAGTGGCGTGCTGGGTGCTCGTCTACATAGACGAACTCCTCGCCGCCAGCAGCAGCACCGCGATGCTGAAGGAGATGCACGAGCTACTGAAGACCACCTTTGAGCTGCGCGAGATCGGCCTGGTCAAGAAGTATCTCGGGCGCGAAATCGTGCGCGACCGACCTGTGCGGAAGCTGTGGCTTCACTAGCAGTCCTACATCGACATTTGCGTAGGCGCTTCATCATCAACGAGCAGATCGAGCAAGTTCCAAAGACACATGTCAACATCGACGCCTATGCCGAGCAGACATTCGACGACGAAGAGTTCCAGTCTCGCAAGGTAGAGAAGTACAGACAGAAGGTTGGCTCACTGCAGTTCGTGGCTACGACCACTCGGCCCAACATCGCCTTCGCTTGCAGCAAGCTGGGGTCCGGCCTGACGGCGAGAAGCGACCAGCATAGGCGCGAGGTCGACCGCTGCCTCACCTACATTACAGACACGCATGATGCCGCCTTGGAGTATGGCGGCGGATCTAACCTGCTGTGTTCGGTCGGCTACGCGTACGTCGACAACTCCAGCGAAAAACACACGCGCACTAGCATGAACAATTGCGTCTTTGTCTTCAGCGGCGCTGCTATCTCCTAGACGATAAAGCGCATCAAGTGCGTGACTCTGTCATTGACGGAGTTGGAGTACATCGCGGCCACCAAAGCCGGCAATGAGGCCCGCCGCCTTCGCTTCCTCTTTGCCAAGTTCCAACTGCTCAACACTGGGGCCTCGACTGTCCTAAATGTGGATATCCAGTTGGCCATCGTGGTCGCTGAAGGCTTGGGGCTCAAGGGCAAACTCAAGCATATGGAGCAATGCTACGTCTGGCTGCAGCAGATCATGAAGCACAAGAATATTGCGCTGCAGTACATCCCAACCACCAAGCAGCCGGCTGACTTCCTCACAAAGGCGCGGCACTCCGGCCTTAAACGATGCTCCGTTGCAATTGGCCAAGTCCGTCTGGCCGACATCGCAATGGCGACGACGACGTGCAGCGAGCAAACAGATCCATCATCACTATAGCCAACATCGGCATACACGACATACATACGAGCCTCATCCATGGCCAAATTAAATATAGGAATCTTACCGGCAAGCAGCATCGCCATGCCTCAACGCCATGTCGCTGTTGGTAGAGGTCGTCAAGTCGGTGGAAGCAGCGAGCTGCAGAGTCGTTGGGGCGTCCGCAGACAGCAAGCTTGCCTAGACCTGTCCGGATTCAGTAGTCGTAGGGGCCAACGTTGCGGCCAGTGGTACGAGGCCCCCAGCTGGCGGGGCCGTTGCTGTGACCGGCGCTCTTCGGACCACCGGGTCCCCGCTGTTGCGGAGGGCCCCAATGCTGCGAAAGATCCCACTGCTGGAACTGCTGATGTGACTTCCGGTGCACCTGCTGCTGCGGCCGTCCCTATTACTGCGGTTGTCTCTTCTGTGGCTGCTACTGCTGTGACTGCTGCTACAGTTGGTGCTGTGCTCCCTCCCCACCATCAGGGCCAGTACCACCTCCTATGCTGCCTCCTCCAGGCACACTAGTACCGCCACCACCTCCGCCACCCCCATCTCCACCACCGCCGCCACCACCGCCACCACCACCCCCCCCCCCCTCTCTTACCTCCCTTGCCTCGTTTTTGTCCACCAGTGGCAGAAACAGCTGCAATCTTTTCAGAAATAGACAACGCAGTAGTGGCAAGAGAAGCAGTGAAGGTGGGAAGCTGCGGCACACCCCTCGAAGAGGCGGGGAACTACTGCGGCAGTAGCAGAGGCAACAGCGACGATGTTACTTTCGATCTTCGTTAGAGTGGTCTCAAGAAGGTCGATCGTAAGCTCACTGGGTGCTTCTGAAGAAGCACGTCGCGGGCAAAGGAGAGGCGGTCAGAAAGGCGAGTGACTAACCAGTGAACGGTGAGACACATGGGTGGGGGGGCGAGGAAAAGCTAGGCGTCGGTGCATGCTGCATAGTAGCGAGTGTCGAGGGAATGCGGGTGAGTGACAAGGTCGGAGAAAGTCTCAAACGACCCAAGTTCAGGGAAAAAAAATGGCATGAGGAGGCGGCTGAGGGAGGCAGAGGAAGGGCTGGAATAACGAGCAATAATAGCGTCATAGCACTCCTTCGCAGACTCGATCTGGGAGAAGTGGGCGCCCATTGTCAGCGGGAGAAAGTCCGTCAGTGCGAGGCTAGCTGCGGCCTCACGAGATTCCCAAACGTCACGCGCCAAAAACAGCATGTCGTACTCCTCCTGCGCCTCAGGAGTGAGAAGGTGCTCACTAGACAGGGGATTGGAGCGTGGAGGGGCCTGGAGAGCGCCGGACGCGTGAGCGTACAAAGTAGCGCCGTCCTGACGCTGGCTCGTGAGATGACGTTGGGCCTGGTGCAGCCAAGTTCTAAAGTCTATCGCATGGCCCTCTGCGTCGAAGTGTGACAATCTCCATGACACCATAGTAACTGCTAGGAGCGACTAGAGCTAGGAGTGGGTGAATTGGGGAGCAAATGGAGCTAGGAACGCCAGTCTAGGAATGGCCGGAGCGAGGAGCGAGCGGAGCTAGGAAAGCTAGTCTAGGAACGCTTGTCAAGTCACAGCACGAACCCTAATTCACGCCAGGAGAAGGGACTACGACTGCTAGCCGCCGCTAGAGATGCCTATGGCGCGAGGGCGAGAAAATGGGCACGGTTGGGGTGTAGGCGTGCTAGCTAAGTGCTACATGCTACTGAACTGTGAGCAGCTGGGAGTGGCTAAGGGCAGCTCTGAGCGGCTAAGGGCGGCCGTGGGCGGCTGTAATGGCAGTTATAGGTAGTAGGGGCGGCTATGAGCTGCTATAATGGCAGTTACAAGTAGCAGGGGCGGCTGGGAACGGCTAAGGGCGGCTGCGGACGGCTGGGAGTGGCTGTGGGTTAATAGGAGGTGGTTTTGTTGGGCAGTAGGCAGTGATGGGCGGCTGGGAGGGGCTATGGGTGGCTGGGAGGGGCTGTGTGTTATAGTCACAAAAGGCTTGAATGTGCCTAAAACGAAAGATAGAGTGCACAGTCGGATTTCTGCACAGCGGCTTCAAATGTTGATAGCGTTCTGGTCACAGCTGCAAATGACTTGATTCAAATTGGATCTCGAGCGTCTTGACGTCGCCTACACTTGGCAATTTAGATTGCACGATTTCATTAAGAATTGACGACGCAACGTCGGTTTGAACGAACAGCACTATGGCAGCCACTATAGACTTCGAACACAAATTACGAGTTGGGAATGACTCCCAGCTCCTACAAACCCCAAGAGCCGAGGTACACCAAGAGAAATGTTACACTACACAAAGTAATGCAACTATTCTCACTATCTTAAAGTTTACCCTTTTGGAGAGCTTCCAAATCACTTGAATCTTGAAACCAAGGCTCTGGTTCTTCAAGACAAATTCTTCCTTGGGTTCTTGGAATTCTGCTGTGCACACATGCGACACGCCGAACGTTCCACACACGACAAAATAGAAAACCGCACATGACACGTAAACGACGACGTGACACGCGACTAGCAATAACTCGCTATTGACTCGACACACACATTCAAAATCATGCCTCGTCATTCACACATTATTGTAAGCATGAAATATATATTATCTCATGCCCTCATACCATTCCATGCACACACGCATGCACGCACACGGACAACAAGCCGAATGCAAACCGGAGGGTTGCACCAACAAACCCCCCCTCGGATTGTTGGCCTTAGGATCTTGCTCTCTCAGTTCATAGCCATCCCAGCCAGTTTACAACACTTCCAATGCTGCTGCTCCACCAGCCTCTTGGTCATAATGTCAGCTAGCTGTCCCGTCGTCTTTACGTAACGCAACTCAACTTCACCCGCGGCCACCATGCTCCTCGTCCAATGCCATTTCACCCTCATGTGCTTCGTGAGGCCATGCAACACAGGGTTCTAAGCAAGAGCAATGGCACCCTGGCTGTCACAGTAGAGTGGGGTAGGTCCTTGCTGCTCCTCCCCCAATTCAGCCAACAAACGCCGCTGCCACACAATCTCCCGTACGGCACGGAAGAGTGCCATGTACTCGGACTCCACCGAGCTCAATGCTTGATCCACCTGCTTCTTGCTCTCCCAAGCAGTTGGGCCTCCACCAACACAGCAAATGAACCCTCCAACACTTGTCATGCCCTCTGGTTCTGATGCATTAGAAGCATCCGAGAATGCGGTGAGGAACAAACGCCCGGGTTCAACACCATCCGCGCCCTTTTGGCGCCTTTGTGCCGCCGCCGAGTATTGCAGCCCAACGGTCGGTGTTTGGCCAAGATACTTGGCCACCCTCATTCCAGCTGCTACCTGCTCTTCATTAGGGCGTTTAACAATCCTAGCCAACTGTCCGGTTGCAAAGGCGATGTCCGATTGGGTGTTTACCGCCGCGTACATGAGGCTGCCCACCAACGAGTGAAAACGGCGCCTCTCCTCTTCACCAACGCTCTCCTCCTCTGGTCCCTTCACACACTTGAACCCAGAGGGAAAGGGTGTAGCCACATGGCCTTCACTCTGCCCAAAGTTGGCAGCCAATGCCTCCAGGTACTTCCGTTGATGCACCCGCATGCACCGCTTCTCCACATCTCGTTCGATGTGGAGCCCAAGGTAGAAGCTCACGTCACCAAGGGCCTTGCACTTGAACTTGTCTTGAAGCTTCAGCATCACCTCCTTCACAAGATCAGAGGAGGGTGAGAAAATTACGATGTCATCCACGTACACAACCATGAAGCTCCTCTGCTCCCCCTCACCAAGCATGAACAATGAGTGATCGGCCGTTGAGGGAGTGAAGCCGATCTCCTCCAAAACTCCTCGCAGCTTCAAGTACCACTGCCTAGGGGCCTGCTTCAGTCCATAAAGGGCCTTCTTCAGCTTCAAAACTCTGCCACTACCATCATCAAACCCCTCTGGCTACGCCATGAAAATCTCTTCCTCTAGGACGCCGTTGAGGAATGTGGTTGTCACGCCCATTTGTTTCACCACCCATCCTTTGATGGTAGCACCCGCGAGTAGGGTTCTCAGCGTCGTCGGCTTCACCACAGGAGAAAATAAATCCTTACAGTCCACCTTCTCCTTCTTCTGGTACCCCTTTGCCACAAGCCTAGATTTTTCCGTCGGCGTCGGAATTGATCTTGAAGAGCCACTTGGACGTAATCGCATTACGCCCCTCCGATAGCTCCACTAATTCCCACGTGCCGTTCTCCTCAATGCTCTTCAACTCACTCTCCATTGCCTTCTTCCACTCCTCAGCACCACTACTCTCCAAGGCCTCCTTGAGATTTGCTAGTTCCCCCGGCATCTCCACCGGAGAGAAGAACGCGAAGGCACACTCGTCGTAGTCACTCTCCTCGTTATCTCCAACTATAAGTGCCGCTCCGGCTAAGGCTGACTTGGCTGGCTTTCCCAGTGCCTCATAGGTCAGCCTAGTTGAGGCTTGGATTCTCCTTTTCCCCCTTCCTTCCTCCTCAGCTGCAGGGACATGAAGGCTCTCATGGCGTTGCTGCGGGGTGATTCGGATCCGTGGAGCACTCGTAGTGGAAGTGTCGGTGCACGCTCGCTCACTTGCTGCACCTCCTCCTCTTCTTCCTCTGCATCCTTGGCCTCCTCTCCCCCATTCCCAAGGAAAGATTGCCTTGTAGTGGTGCTGCTGCTGCTCAGCTCCAAGGGCAGCTCCACATGCTCCAAACCGGAACTCTTCACCTCCCCTAACCGCACGCCTATCTTCGCCTCATTCTCCGCCTTCCAATCCTTGTACATCAGATTCTCCATGAATTTGCAGTCCCCGCTCACCAAGAATTTCTTGGTGAATGGGTCCCAAAGAAGCCACCCCTTGCTGTTTTGAGCCATGCCCAAGTGCACAGCCCATATCGCCTTGGCACCGAGCTTGTTGTGCCGAAGATGCTTAGGTACGAGCGCCATGCACATGCACCCGAACACCCAAAGCATATCCACCTTTGGCTTCCTTCCAATCCACTCCACATAGGGCACCCATTTGTCTGCTCCGACATGAGTCAAAGCTCTGTTCTTGGCCACACACGCACTCCGCACTGCATCAGGCCAGAAATAGTCGGGTAGCCCGGCTTCAATGAGCAACCCGCGCGCCGTCTCCCGTGATTGTGCGGTTCGCTCGCTCGGCGATGCCGTTCATTGCAGGGGAGTATGGCATGGTAAGGGAGTGCCTTATGCCATTCTTCTTCAGCCACAATGAGAACTCCTTGCTCAGGAACTCTCCCCCTCGATCGGTGCAAATTGCCTTCACTAGCCGGTCTTGTTGCCGCTCCACCATCGGCAACCAATCGGGTGAACCGTTTCAGCCACATCGCTCTTCTTGGACAGCACCCTACACCCAGGTCATGCGGGTGTAGACGTCCACAATGGTGAGGAAGTACTCTGCTCCAGCAGCTCCAAGCTTCAGGGGGCCCGCCACGTCCATCACCACCTCATCAAGTGGTGCCTTAGCCGTTGCCTCCGAACTAGAGAACGGGTAACGGGTGAATTTGGCTTGCATACACGTCGAGCAGCCAAGTACCTCATCGGGCTCCCCCTTCACACGTATGCCAGCAACCATCTCATTCTTCACTAGCTGCTGCAAGATGGGCAGGGCCACATGCCCCATTTGCCGATGCAAGGTCAACCAATCACACTCCCCCATAGCCGAAGTCGGATTGGAGAATGCCGCACTCGCAATAGTGCCCCACATGTTCTCTCCGTACTCCTCCTCCGCTGCTGCCTTGGGGTTCTCCTCATCCTTGTGCTGCTTCTTGGATGCTGCACCACTCTCCTCGTGTTCACCGAGCTTGCTGGTCCCTCCAAGATTGCACTTCTTGGACTTAATCTCCTTAGCGCGACCGTTCGCGCCATCGCCGCTACCAACCGCTTTACCCTTGGTGCTGATGCTTGCTGCCACTTGCCTCTCCTTAGGCATGGGGACCACAAGGATCTGCCATATCTCGTTGTAGACATCCCTATCCTCGTGAAGGTCCCAAAGAATCCGCTCCCTTCGAGCTCGTGTCCATGCCGGCCTTTTGCAACCGCCGCACGGAAATCAGGTTGGCAGCAAGGTTGGGCACCCAAAGCACGTTCTTGAGGCCCACCATCTTCCCATCAGCACCCTTGAACATGGCCTTGCCCATGCCTTTCACCTCTGCTCGCTGCCCCAAAGCTGATGTCACATGCTTCACCGGTGACGGCTCAAGTTCGGTGAGCAAGTCCGCACGAGGTGTCATGCTATAGGTAGCGCCGCTATCGATCATCCAATAGTCCAGGGAGTGTAGGGTGACCTTCCACACAGCTTCTGGCTCCTCAAAGCCCTCATCCTTCTCTGGACCAGCCGGTGCTTGCGTGGACACGAAGAAGAATTGACCCGGAAAGCGATCGTCCCTCGACTCGCTCTCGTTGCCGGCACTCTTCATACTTGCAGCACCACCTCCGCGACCGCCACGGCCTCTTCCTCTCCCTCCTCCTACTCCTCTACCCTCTTGGCCTTGAGCAGGGGACCATCCATCAGGGAGCTTGTAGCAATCGCGCCACATATGTCCGTTCTTGTGACAATAGTGGCGCTCGCCGTCGAATCGGCCGCGACCGCGTCCGTAGCTCTTGTTGTCGCTGCCGTATCCGCTACTCCCGCGGCCTCCATTGAAGTTGTTGCTGCCAAATCTGCCTCCCCCTCGTCCTCTGCCCCTTCCACGGCCATACCCTCGGCCGATGCTTGCTGCCCCGGCACCATCCGCACTCGCCAACTCACGGCGGCGGAAGTCCTCTTGAAGGATCGCTCGCTTCACGTCTTCAAGCGAGAGGCGGGGCAAGTCACGATTGAGGTTGATGATGAGCGAGGACCATGACTCTGGGAGTAAGGCCAGAAACTTGGTCTTCTTTTGGAGCTCACTGTAGTTCAAATCAGCTCCCTCAAGCCGCGTCAACAAGTCGAAGAATTTCTGCACCCCTTCTTCAACCGCTTCGTCTTCTTCAATTCCTAGTGCCGCCATTTGCCGTTCCAACACCACCACTACCGCCGCTGTTGTAGGAGCGTGTACACCCTTGAGAGCAGCCCATGCCTTTGGTCCCTTCTCTGGTTCACGCTGGAATGGCTCGATGCTACGGATCTGGCTGCTCCCCAACGCTTGCCCAAGTAGGAGATATCCGTGTGCGCTCTTCCGCACCCACGGGCTCTTCTCCGGATCGTTCTCGGGGCGCTTCTCCGTTCCTTCCATCACCTCTAGCAGGTCATAGTGGTCAAATACATTCTCCATTCTGAAGGACCATTCAGCGAAGTTGTCACCATTGAACTTGTCAAGCCCAAACACCATAGGCTCATCCCTAGGTGGTCCAAGACTTGGTTGCACGGGCGCCATGGATGAATCACGGGGTTGGCCTTGACCTTGGGCTTCTCCACTGCCACCAGCACCTCTGCCACCCCTTTCCTCAGGTCCAGCCATTGTCGAAAATGCTCCAAGGGGCTCTGATACCACTTGTTATCGTCACAATAGGCTTGAATGTGCCTAAAACGAAAGATAGAGTGCACAGACGGATTTCTGCACAGCGCCTTCAAACGTTGATAGCGTTCTGGTCACAGCTGCACATGACCTGATTCAAGTTGGATCTGTTGCGTCTTAACGTCGCCTACATGGCAATTTAGATTGCATGATTTGATGAAGAATTGACGACACAACGTTGGTTTGAACGAACGGTACTATGGCAACCACTGTAGTCTTAGAACACAAGATAGGAAGAGTTATGAGTTGGGAATGACTCCCAGCTCCTACAAACCCCAAGAGCTGAGGTACAGTGATGTGGAACAGTGCCACACTGTCCCCAACCACGAAGGGTCTCGAAACTACCCTCCACAAGGGCCTACACTAAGAGAAATGTTACACTACACAAAGTAATGCAACTATTCTCACTATCTTAAAGTTTACCCTTTTGGAGAGCTTCGAAATCACTTGAATCTTGAAACCAAGGCTCTGGTTCTTCAAGATAAATTCTTCCTTGAGTTCTTGGAATTCTGCTGCGCACACCTGCGACACGCCGAATGTTCCACACTCGACAAAATAGAAAACCGCACATGACACGCAAACAACGACGTGACACGCGACTAGCGATAACTCGCTATTGACTCGACACACACATTCAAAATCATGCCTCGTCATTCACACATTATTGTAAGCATGAAATATATATTATCTCATGCCCTCATACCATTCCATGCACACCCGCATGCACGCACACGGACAACAAGCCGAATGCAAACCGTAGGGTTGCACCAACACTGTGGGCGGCTGGGAGGGGCTGTGGACGGTTGGGAGGGCGGGGGGAGGGGGGGGGGGGGGGGGGGGGGGGGGGGGGGAGGCTGTGGCTAGCTGTTGCTAACTCTGCTGCTGCTGGTGGCTAGCTTTAGCTGCTGGCGGTTGGCAGCAGAGGGTGCCTAGATGTGCAGTGTGCATAGCAGTGGCGGTGCGCGCTGCAGCGCGCACTGTTGCAGTTCGTACTGGTGTGGCGCGCGCGTTGCAGCGTACACGTGGTGGTTGCGTGTGTGCGTCGCTGTTAGTGCGTGCGCGCGGCTGCTTCTAGCACGTTGTGCGCAGCTGCTGCTAGTGTGTCGCGCGCTGGTGCTGCTAGTGGATGGCGCGCGGGCAGCTAGCTGGCTGGAAAAGCAGGCGCGCTGCCTGAGAGGGAGGGGGAGGTCTCGCTCCTGTAGGCTGGCTGGACGAAGTCTAGGAGCTTATGGTCTAAGACAGCCTAAGAACTTAGTCTCTAATACCATGTGAAGAATGGTGAGGGGAAGGGTACAAATAGAGTGTCGAGAGTATTATGTACCCTATACTGAGAACCTCACTGTAGCTTAGCAACCTAACAAACATACAAATAATATTTGATCGTGTGTCAAATTATATATATGCATGTTAGTTTGTTAGTCTATAATGAGGTGCTCTTTAAAGAGTACAACCCTTTTATAGTTGCCCATTTGTACCTCATCCTTTCTAGTCATTCTGATTTCGCTGTTCACATTCTGAGACAAGACACGATAAAATGTTTTTCATCAAAAGGCGGTCCACCCCAGTAGGACAAAGAAAGAGTTATGCCCCCGAAAATAAGAGCATGACCCTACGGGGCCCTTATCAGACCAACATCTAATCAATCTCGCCCCTATCACTTATATTTCAATTTAAGGCAATTCCTTATTGGACCGTTTTCCTATCTGGAAAAGTGCGTGAGAATTTAATGAGTGATGAGGCATGTGGCAACGCGAACAGCTTTCTTGTGCTGCCCCAACATCGGGCAAGGGAGCTGAGCTTGAAACAAAACGCCAGGAAACATTTTACATCATGGCATCCCATCGAATCGTAAACGAATTGCTGGTGATCAGGCCCTCATCTTGGTTTTGGGCCACGCTTTTTTATCAGTGTTGGTGGTGAAAAAAACACTGATCATCAGTGTCAGTTAGGAAAAAAACGCAGGAAAATCAGGGTTGGTGTGGAAAAAAAAAACTTTTATCAATCAGTGTTGGTACAAGTATTTAGGCTGGTTCAACAAGGGCACAGTATGGGTGTATTGTGTCAGGGGTGGGTGTTAGAATGAGTGACAAGAATGGATGATTAGGAGAAAGGGGGGGGTACAAGTAGAATGTCGAGAAGTTTTGTGTACCCCCTAAAGCTAGCCCCCATAAAGCCTAGATGCAACTAAGCCTAGATACAACTAAGCATATATGTTTGACACACCCCCATAGGCGAAGTGGGGGATAGCAAGAGCAAGCAATGGTCACAAGACCAGTCAAGAGAAGAAGCAAAGCAAAGCAAGCTCAGGGTGGATCACAAAGTCACCACACAGTCCGAGCACAAGCAAAGGGCCACAAGGCCAGTTCACATGCAGAGTTATATAAAGAGAACAAACAATACAGTGATCATACCCTAGCAAGTGCAAGCATGCAGGTATATATATAGATCACAGTACAGGCAGAGTCAGGCAGTAAGTAAGTGAGGCAAAGTAGGCACAAGGCCTAACACAGTAACAAAGCGCTGATGATCACCAGGCAGAAGTGCCTTGGTGAAGACATCAGCAGTGTTGGCCCGAGTGGCCACGTGTGCAAGACGAAGCTGACCACGCTGCTGCAACTCTCGAGCAAGGAAGTATCGCAGAGCGATGTGCTTCGTTCTGTGCTCCAGTCTGTGTTCCTGTCACAAGGCTATCATGGCCTTGTTGTCTACGTACAGAACTGGAGGCGAACGAGGCTGCTCTCCCAAGTCGGTCAGCAAGTAGGTGAGCCAGCGTAGCTCCTGAGCAGCCATGGCTCCGGCCTAGATCTCAGCCTCACAACTGGAGCTGAGAACTGAAGACGAGCGGGTAGACCGCCAAGAGACCGAGCTGAACCCAAGGCTGAAGGTGTAACCCTGTGACGACCTCTGCGTAGCTGAGTCGTCAACCCAGGAGGTGTCTGCGTGACCAGTGAGGACAACAAGACCCCATCCTCCAAGCACAAGCCCCATGCCCGACGTACTGCACAGGTAACGCAGTACCCTCTTCGCAGCATCCCAGTGCAGCTTTCGGTGCCTGCCAGGAGCCACGTAGCGAGCCAGAAGGCTGAGAGGGTACGCGAGGTCAGGTCGTGTGCAAGTCATAAGGTACATGAGGCAACCCACAAGCTCTGGGTATGGACCACTCGGCTTTATGGACTCGTCCGAAGGTGGAGCTGAGAGCGAGTGGCTGGTAGACAGAGGAGTGAGCTGTGGCGAGGAGTACTGGTGCACCATGTGTGACTGGGTCAGTGTGATGGTGCGCCGTGCTCTGTCCCGGGTGATCTGCATGCCAAGATAGCTGCGCAGTTCACCCAGGTCAGTGCAGGTATGTCTCTTCTGCAGTTCGGACTTCACAAGGGTCAGTGCCTCAGTGTCAGCCGTGGCAAAGACGAGGTCGTCGACGTACACTAGGACGTAGAACGGCGGCAGCGAGGTGTCGGTGCGTAGAAACAGTGACGGGTCTCCTGTAGAAAGAGCAAACCCAAGAGCCGCAAGTGTAGTCCTGCGTGTGTCTTGCCACTCTCGAGGCTCCTGGCGGAGACCGTAGACTAGCCGGCGGAGGCTCCACTGAGTACCTGCAGGAAACGTCCCAGTGAAACCAGGTGGTCGGCGCAGCCAGGTCTCCTCGTGCAGGCTGCCCTGCAGGAAGGCTGTACTGAAGTCGAGGGAGCGTATCTCGTAGTCACGCTGAGCAGCTACGTGCAGCAACACCCAAAGAGTAGTCATCTTCGGGTTGGGGGAGAAGGTCTGGAAGTAGTCAACTCCCTGTCGCTGGCTGAAGCCTCGAGCAACGTAACGCGCCTTGAAGGCAGGTGGAGAACCCGGCGCCCGCTTCACCCTAGGTGGGGGAACCTCATTGTCGTAGGTGCCTGTGGACTTCCAGGATGCCATCTCGGCATCCATAGCTGCATGCAAGTGAGAGGAGTAAGGACCAGTAATCGCCTCTGCGTAAGAGCGCGGGGTCGGGATGTCCGGAGCATCCGGGTCTCCCTCAGGGGCAAGCAGCAAGGAAGCGAAACGAGGTACAGCAGCTGCAAGACACTCAAAGTCCTCCTGCTTGTCCTCAAGGACGTCCGTGCCAAGAGCACACTCACCCCGACAGACGGAGGACTGGCAGGCATAGACTCAGCAACTAGAGCTGAGGCGTAGTCGAGACGGCAAGCAGCAGCAAAGTCAAGCAGCTCAGCAACGAGAGCAGAAGCAGCAGCAGACTCAAAGGACGGGTCAGTGACAGCAGTGGCAAGGAGACGAGCGACAGTGGGACTGGCAGCACGCGCTCGGTCAGACTCAGGGTCAGGGACCTCAGGAAGAGAGGACTCAGGAGGAGCAGGCAGAGGAACACGCAGTGGAACAGAGGAAGGACGGAGTGCCATGGTGTGCGTGCCTGGGACAGGAGGAGGACGCGAACGAGGAGCGCGACGAGCAGTGCGAACAGGCAAGACAGGACGAGACGCAGGCTCACGGCGCTCTGTAAGACCTCCAGACTGCTTAGTGTAAGGAGAGGGAACAGGCAGTGGGGAGGCTGGCTGTAACGGCGGCTGTGACTGGTCAGGCGGTGGACACAAGAAGGGAGGAGGAAGACCAGTAGAAGACGGGACACCAAGAACCTGCTGAAGCAGGGGAACAAAGTACGGGCGCGGCCGCACAGTGCCTCCAGCACCTCCAGCTCCAGGGTCAAGAGCTCCAGCTCCTGCAGCTCCAGCGCCTCCTGCGCCACGGCCTCCAACTCCAGCTACACCAGCTCCAGCACCTCCGGCGCGAGCTGCTCCAGGCTCCGTAGGGTCTCCAGCTCCAGTAGTAACAGCAGCACCTCCAGCTCCAGCGTCTCCAGGCTCGCCAGCCCTAGGGGCTCCACTCCGACGGTGTGGGCGCTGAACAAGCCACTCACGCAGCTGCTGCGAGGACAGTCGCGGTGAAGCACCAGC